GACATTCAATGTCATTTTCGATTCTTTTAAGTCTCACTGCCTAACTAATGCCAGTATCAACAGAATGTGCCGCAGCATTACTATCTCTTAGATACCCTAGTATTTACACCTAGTGGTTGGAGTATAGGCGCCAAGGTCGTCAGATTTCTTGTCTAAAAGACTATTTAGAGAGAATTAATCTAGATCGTGAAAGCTTGGTAAGCGATCAAGATATTTTTTAGTGGGCAGACAAGTATCGAGACTGTTTTTGAACTGACCATGAGAGGATATGAGATCGCAAGAATAATAAGGGAGCTCTCGTAGGAGAGCTTTGTTTACGTTAGTTTGATTCACAGCTTATCGTGGTCCTTAAATATAATCTCTTAACTTGATAATCCGTGGCGGACAGCAAAATTGTCTAAGTCTCTTGCACACTTGATTGCGATCGGTCGAGAGTGCTCGTTTTCCCTCAGCCATACTGCGGAATTTTTAGCCCAACAAAAAGCCAAGTTTAGCCTTTCCTTTACCTTCTTGGCGTCTGCCAGCAGTGACTGTAGACGTGGAGAAAGGTGGTCTCAGAGGCCTACGTTTTCTATCGAGTCGCTTTCTTGAAGGCCAATGCTTGTAGGGTCTATCTTTGTCACTTCTCTACGGAGCGCCATGACTTGTTCTCGAGAAACTCGCCGAGTAAATTTGCAAACAATCGGTTTAGGGCGACCTTCAGCGGCTTGACGTGGTGTGGGCTAAATCGATGTCATAGGGATGTATCTCTGCACCAATTGCATTAAAAATATTCAGACAGAGCTGTGACGTTTCAGAGGCATTTTCACGCGGCTTAATCTCCGGAACACCAACAAGCTTGACATTATAAGAATAACTGTATTCTTGGGCTTGATCGATTGCCGAAGCAAGATTATTAACACGAGATGATATGACAGCCAAAGATTTCTCCATGGCAGATATTCTTTCTTCGGCTTGTTTGCGAAACTTGACAAGGACGTCATATTCTTTACTCAGAAAATCCAGAGACTTCGTAGCACCGGCTTCATCACCATTGCTTGCATCATGGCTGTCAGGACGCTGCTGCTTCAAGGACTCTTTAAGTTGCTTAAGTTCTCCAAAAACAGTATCTACTTTCTCCTTCAACTTGTCATTCTCAGCTTTCAGTGATTGAACAGTTTCTTTTACCATTTTACTTGCTTATTCCTAGTCTTTAGTAATAAAATTCGGTCAAGATTTCAGGAGCTCGGAAAACCACGTTCGTACCATACGCACACATGCGCATTACAGTAAAAAAAAATCAAAACTTGCATAAAAAATACACAATTTGAAATGGCTACACTTGTAATACATACAAGGTGAAAAAAATGAAGAGTTATGTAATCAAATTATAACAGGTATAACATCGATACCCTATTAAGCTGAGCATTTTCGCTCTTAAATTTTAACTGATACAACTTAGAAGTTAGGTACCCTATCTAAGGATCACACCGGGGACATAACGCCAACAAAGCCAAAAGTGATACCCTTATTTAGGATCTACCCTTAAAAACCATACCCTATCGGGCGGCAAATACCTAGCCCCTACATGGCAGTACCCCTGGGTTGGGGGGGGGGGGGTAACCTCATTTAGACATTAATAGTGAATGGTAAAATAAATGATTAGTATAGATAATCTCATGATTTCGAGTGCAATTCGGAATAAATAAGCACGAGTAAAATCTTTCAAAGACAACAAAAGTGGGCGAGCCCGTAGGGCGCGCGAATGCGCATTGTGGTCTTTGAAAAATTTACAAGTGCTCATTTATTTCAAATTGCACGAGAAAAGTCATGTGATTACTTAATAATGTACACGAAAAACATAACTACAGCAACTACAAAGTTTGACAGCGCGCGCGTTTTTAGTTCATTCAACTGATTGGCTCAAACAGATCACAAACTTTGTCAAATTCAAACATTTTCAAGACAACGCTTTCAAAATCATTCACCTAAGAACTTGGAAATGTGTAAGGATTGATTTTACACCAGCCTGTTAAAGATATTAACTTGGTTTGCAATAATTAGAGAAAGTAAATGTTTTTAGAACCAACCTCGATTATGAAAGCTAGGCAAGAAGTATACTACTGTTTTGAAACCAGGAGAACGCTTCGAGCAGCCAAAGATGAAGACACGTACTTGCTGAGTTGTTTAATGACTGTTCATCATTGTCTGTTCCTGAGACCCCCATGACTGGCTGCATTCATGGAGAAATTTTTAAGATTTTAAACACGAAAATGAAGGAGGGAATTTGTTTTCTTTCAACGCTGCCATCGATGGGCGACTGAAGCCACAGTTGTTGTTAAAACATCTCTAATCTGATTGGTTCTCCTTGGTTTCTTTTATCTTTTTTCAGCCAATCAGAAAACATTTGTAATTTTCACTCGTGTTACAGGAGAACTGCACTCCTTTCTCAGCCAATCAGAATTGAGTAATTCTTTGAATTCGTGTATATTATTAATCTTATAAATGGGAAAAATTCAAACCTTAGTTTTAAGGTACTTTATGTAGCTTTTGCAAATTTCTCTTGTCTGACGGCGGCTAATTGTAAATTGGATTACATGTTATACCAGAGTTCTTAGCAATCTGTTCAACCGTTTCTATATTGCGCCATTCCAACTTACGCCCTTGTTTAATCTCAAGACCAACTTGGTTGTAATGACGCTCTAGGATTCGCAGGCAGGTAAAGGTATTGTTGCCGGCATTGCAAGGGGATCTAAGAAGATCTGTAATAAACTGAAGATCATAGTTAAAAAGAGGAAAATTATCCTNAAAATATCTGTTCGGAAGACGATTTGAGATCTAGAATTTTCGAAACATTTGTTGTAAAACTTCTTGCTTGCCTGCCTCTCCTAGGATTTTCGAACATCTAAAAAATGGTATAATTGCCTATTTTTAACGGATTTTTACCCTAAAAAGGTCACCTAGAATTTTCGGAGCATATTTTCTGGCTGAAATTTTCGAAAAGGTAAGTTTTGATCCCTATAATTTTCGGATCACTAGACTTTCAGCTAGGAAATCCGAACAGATGAAAAATTTTTAGGGGATAAAAATATGCCTTTATCTACCGTTTAAATACTAAAATACGTTTAAAAATGCTATGTTTAAGTGGTTTTGAACTATATTCCCGTTGGGTGCCCCTGACTTGCTGAGTTGTTTAATGACTGTTCATCATTGTCTGTTCCTGAGACCCCCATGACTGGCTGCATTCATGGAGAAATTTTTAAGATTTAAAACACGAAAATGAAGGAGGGAATTTGTTTTCTTTCAACGCTGCCATCGATGGGCGACTGAAGCCACAGTTGTTGTTAAAACATCTCTAATCTGATTGGTTCTCGTTGGTTTCTTTTATCTTTTTTCAGCCAATCAGAAAACATTTGTAATTTTCACTCGTGTTACAGGAGAACTGCACTCCTTTCTCAGCCAATCAGAATTGAGTAATTCTTTGAATTCGTGTATATTATTAATCTTATAAATGGGAAAAATTCAAACCTTAGTTTTAAGGTACTTTATGTAGCTTTTGCAAATTTCTCTTGTCTGACGGCGGCTAATTGTAAATTGGATTACATGTTATACCAGAGTTCTTAGCAATCTGTTCAACCGTTTCTATATTGCGCCATTCCAACTTACGCCCTTGTTTAATCTCAAGACCAACTTGGTTGTAATGACGCTCTAGGATTCGCAGGCAGGTAAAGGTATTGTTGCCGGCATTGCAAGGGGATCTAAGAAGATCTGTAATAAACTGAAGATCATAGTTAAAAAGAGGAAAATTATCCTTGAACGCCGCGTTAGGCATATGATTGGTGCATATATCTACCGTAGTATTTCCCGCTGCTCGGTGTGACAAGCAGTAACTGATAAGAATCTTTGACCATATCCACATTCCCTTTGTTTTCATTGAATGGAAGGCTGTTTGAGGTTCCGCCAGTATCGTTCTTACATATTCAGGTCCAATAGCATAGCCTTTTAGGAACTCTTCATTATATTCTGTTAGATTCCTGGTGATCTCGAAACTCCAGTCGTAGCGATCTCTTTCAAAATACCAAGCATAATTGAGAACAATGTTGACAGGGGATAGCTCCAATCTCTCTGTCCCGTTCGTCTCGAAGAACTTTGGAAAGACTTCTTCAAGATCAGTTGAGTTAAATCTTTTTAGTATGTATTCTCTGCAGTGCGTAAAGGTGTCCCGGTATATGTATACCGGGAAATAAGTCATGAAATCAGCAACAAACGGCAATCCTAGAGCAATTTCATTAGTTACCATCCAATGCTTCACCCAATGCCTAAAGCTTGTGAGTTCAGGCTGAGTGGCTATAGCCCGTAGCTTCGTGCCGGCAAAAATCGTAGATTTAGTTACTGGAGTGAGAAAGGCAGTATCACTGTCCATCCAAGCAATTATGGAGTCATTTGTATACTGATCAATAAAGAAACTGCTCCAAAGCTGCCTGGTGTAACCCCTAGGATGACCGTCGTTAACGTCCAATATGTCGTCTCTTTGGGGGAGGGGCTCATACAGTACTTCGATCTTATAATCTGGAAAATAAGACTTCGTTTCATTTGTTACTTTTGCAGAAAATTTGTAATCGTCCTTTCCTTCTTTATCAAGAACTATAACAAATTTTCCAAGGGAAGGAGGCCAATACAGAACAAAAGTCCTGTAAAGGTGACAATAAAAACGAAACAAGTGATCCTGCCGACTGCCTGACATTCTCAAGAATAGTGTTATTGGGGTGTCCGTGATCGCTGTTTTATGCGGTGGTCCTGTGGTGTCTGTGATCGCTGTTTTATTAGGTGGTCCTGTGGTGGTATATAGTCTGATCTGCGGAAACCGAGGCTCGGAGTCATTACCAACCAGCTGTCGGAAATTGAAAGTTACAGGAGACAGTTTTGAATATGGAAACAGATAAATAAAGGAGACAATCAAGCCAAGGAACAATATTTTTGGCCGTGACGTCAATTCTTTTAACAACGAAGCTGCCATGTCCCCAGTTGTTTAGCCAGAAGAAAACAGCCTCCTCTGCTTTATGGACTTTCACTGAGGGGGGAATCAAACAATATCATGTTATTCAGCCTCAACGATCCGGGTAAGGTGAATAGCAGTTTCTTTTTTATGCGGCAACGGTGCTTTCCCCACATGAACCTGCATAAACCTACATGAAGGCCATTTACGCAATAATTAATATAATGCATTTACACTCCACTTTGAAAGGTTGTTTTTTTGTGTTAAAAGATTTTGACTAATCACAACAGTTGAAAACAATAGCCAAAAAAGTTTACAATTTTACATGTTCCCCACCTAGGATGTCTTTGTTATTCAAACTGAGACCAAATTTTGTTATATGGAAGATGGTTTGAAAGTAAGGATGAATATATGTACTGCTTTATGAAGTTTTGTTAACTTTTGCTGTTTAAGCCAATCAGAAGTAAGTACAGACAATAGAAAAGTTAGCAGCTTTTTTGCATTCCAACATGTTCGTTGCCGTTCAGTGCTATCGCTCTTATCTGGACCGTTTCTTAACAATTATTCCTCGAGCCCGAATGGGCTCTGAGTCAATAGCCCATGAGGGCCGAATGGGCTATTGACTCAGAGGCCATGAAGGCGAGAGGAGTAATTGTTTTAGTAAAATCCAACTAGTTAGTCAAAAATATCGAGACAAAACAACTTAAAGCAAGACTTTAATCCTTTTTGTCACCAAAAATCTGGCACTTTTCGCTACTTGTGGGCTATAACATATAGCCTAGTAGCTACACTATGAACTAAAAACCCATGAAAATCCTGTGAATTAATTTACGGTAAATCCACAGGATTTTCAAAGGATTTTAATGGTATTTTCATGGGAAATCTTATAAGATTTTTCATGGAATGTTACCCTGGAAAAAGCATGAAAAAAAAAAAAAAAAACATTAAAAAGCCATTAAAAACCCCTTAATCTTTCAGTCATGGGCCATGAAAACCCTTAAGCTTTGGGCAAATCCATGAAATACGCATGAAAACACCATGAAAATTTTGGGTTGCTTTTCATGGCCTTTTAATACCATCAAAAATGCCATGAATTACAAAGAAGGATTTTCATGGTGTTGTAGTTCATGGTCTTTTCATGAGGCCTCTGAATTCATGACCCATGAAAAACCATGTGGTTATACCATTAATATTGAAAGATTAATAGATCATGAAAAATGTTCATGGCTTTTTGATGGCTTTTTGAAGACCCATGAAAATTAATAATTCAATGGGCTTCCTCTATTTTCATGGCGTAAACAAAATATAACATGGACCATGAAAACCAAATTAAAAGTACTTGACTGTTAACCATTCTATTCTGGCCCCCAAATCAAATTAATTCAAGCTCACTAATGAAAAATGATGAAAACACTAACTAAATGGGTTGGAACATATACTGAACTACAACAAGCAATGTACATGTACTTTGATTGATATTGACTTTATTCCACCCTTTCCATGGCATTAAATAGACAACACTATTTTTTCCTGTATCATTTCATATTCAGACTTGCCACTAAAGGCAATTATGGTAATAGAATACTGTTCACATAAAAAAGTTAATGTTAAAAACATGTAGCTGTTTTTACTGAACAAGTTATATTCAACTTTGGAATCTAATAATCTCCAAAATCTTCAAAATCTGCAATATTTCCAGATAAGGATTTTTAATTATAAAAATTCCGTATAGCCTCCTCCGAGAACAATTCAGTTAAATATTTTTGCTTCCTTTCTACCTGGCAACTGTATAAATCTGATATCAGACATTAATCATCATCTATTAATTTCAAAATTTTGATCATAAATAATTTCATTTTGTCATATAAAATATGTGGAATAAGTTTTAAAAAAAATTGAGTAGATAAGCATCTTTTTTCACTGCAATATCTTTACAACTGGAACATTTTTAAAAATAAAATTCTTACATACACTTGAAGAACCTTGCCTAATTCCAGCATATAATTTACTAAGAATCATTACATTAATCATGGCTGGCCGTGATCATGATGACATAAAAGATTTTATTTCTTTCGGCGCATAATAACAATTGTCTCAAATTGTTATACGCAAAAAAATACATGCCATAAAAAGGAATGCTCAGACTTAAAGTGAAAATTTCGATTTCCGTGGTATCTTAATGGCTCATGAAAAATTAAAATAATCCCTCACCACTTTCTTGGGGGTAAGTGAAACAATACTATTTAAATAACACCATGAAATTGTCCTTAAAATCACATGACGCTGATCTACAAGAGCAAAATCCTCATGAATGAAATCTAGACAGAGCTGTGGGCCGGGGACCTCCCCGGCTAGTTGCATAGGGAAATAGAAGAAAAATAGAACCAAAAGAAATCCCTACCTGTTTGATTCCCCGCCTACTTGTTGTATTTACCCGGCAATGTGAAATCTTGGTGACATCCCTGCTGCCTACANCCGAGAACAATTCAGTTAAATATTTTTGCTTCCTTTCTACCTGGCAACTGTATAAATCTGATATCAGACATTAATCATCATCTATTAATTTCAAAATTTTGATCATAAATAATTTCATTTTGTCATATAAAATATGTGGAATAAGTTTTAAAAAAAATTGAGTAGATAAGCATCTTTTTTCACTGCAATATCTTTACAACTGGAACATTTTTAAAAATAAAATTCTTACATACACTTGAAGAACCTTGCCTAATTCCAGCATATAATTTACTAAGAATCATTACATTAATCATGGCTGGCCGTGATCATGATGACATAAAAGATTTTATTTCTTTCGGCGCATAATAACAATTGTCTCAAATTGTTATACGCAAAAAAATACATGCCATAAAAAGGAATGCTCAGACTTAAAGTGAAAATTTCGATTTCCGTGGTATCTTAATGGCTCATGAAAAATTAAAATAATCCCTCACCACTTTCTTGGGGGTAAGTGAAACAATACTATTTAAATAACACCATGAAATTGTCCTTAAAATCACATGACGTTGATCTACAAGAGCAAAATCCTCATGAATGAAATCTAGACAGAGCTGTGGGCCGGGGACCTCCCCGGCTAGTTGCATAGGGAAATAGAAGAAAAATAGAACCAAAAGAAATCCCTACCTGTTTGATTCCCCGCCTACTTGTTGTATTTACCCGGCAATGTGAAATCTTGGTGACATCCCTGCTGCCTACATGTTAAGACAACACATAAATATAGTGCATTGAGTAACCTACAGTATAACTTAAGTCATGATTGAAAAAAATATATAAAACATATCCAGTTAGTGGAATCTCTAGACATTGTTTGTTTATAATCCAAATGACAAGATCCGCTAAAATATTCTCCTTTTTTAAAATTACTTTACTCAGCATACACATCACCACGTACATGGATTTCAATTTTTTTTTTTCTAAAATTGTAATCATTATGATATTACATGACATAGTGGCCAGTTCTTTCCAATTTCTGCTTATTAAGGTATACCAAGTACGGTGAGGGTAAAAGGCGGGATGAGTTTGCGAAATGGCATGTGGCATGCCTTGCGGAATGACATAATTATGCAAAATGTAAAATATGGAAAATGGCGCAAAGAAATATGTTAAACTGAAAAACATGCGCGCGTCTTTGCCATGCCTTGTTTGGCGCCAATTTGAGTGAGCAACTTTTTTGCTGGTCCATAAATTACTGCTGGCTTAAACCAACAAGGCAGAGCAGAAAGTAGCTATAAGCTTTACTGCATTTGTGTCCATGTAATACTTAATTAATACTTAATTTATTTTTGATGCATTCGACAATACTTTCCCTCTTTCTGTCCACCATTATAATAAAGTCAAATGTCAAAATGCGAAAGGGAAAAAAACACTTGTTGAACGTGAAGTCGGGCTAGCTACAATTCTAGGGATTATTAATTAATACGGTGGACGGATCAGATCATTTTTGAGACTAAATGAATGCCCCGAGTCAAACATTAATCTGTAATCCAGTTTGTAATCTTGTTTGTGTGAGTGTGTGCGTTTGATCGTGAAAAAATGCTAAGGAAGGGGAAAAAAAGAAAAAAAAGACACACACTCAATTGCCAGGATTGGGACTTGCCCTTCTCCGCCAGCTGTTAGCTTCGCGTGCCGGAAACTTAACCAAGCAGCTAAAGAAACAAAATACAAGATCCCTTTCATCTCTGAATATTAGGGCCATTTATACGAGGAAGAATAAGACGCGTCTTAAATAAGACGCGAACAGTACCATTTATACGAGCATGTCTTATCTAATAAGACGCGTCTTAGCTAAGCCGCGTCTTATTTTAGACGAAAAGTGCCGTTTATACGGAAAGTTCGCGTCTTATGTAAGACGCGTCTTATTTTTCCTTGTATAAATGGCCCTATTATGTCACAGTCAGGTAACCCACCGTTTGAAAAAGAAACACTTCTCATGCGGTTGCAAATACAAATCTAGGTAAAAAGAAACTGTAAAGTTAATCGTGCAAACATTTTTGTAAAAGGGAGCGTGACCTCCCAAAACATCTTTTCTTCAATTACGGCCGACTTTCCTGCTGTAGTATCGGTGCTGCCATGCAGGCCGGCTAATAAAGGCAAGACGAATCTTTGTGGCTGTGCAGAAAAGGCTAATCAACAATGAGCCTTCGTGGCTTTTTGATTGTCATTGTATGTCAACATTATAAAACAGCGGCTGCGTTTTCAGATTGATTGGTACCAAAAAAGGGTACACTTTTCAGTTTAATGTACTTCTTTGGGTCATTCGGCATATATTACATTCCACATAATTATGTCATTCCGCAAGCCATGCCACATGCCACTCTGCAAACTCATTCCGCCTTTTACCCTCACCGTACCAAGAAACAGAAAAGCAATTTAGCACTCAATTTTAGTGAAAAGACAAAGTAAATAAACATCTTCGAATAATACAATCATTTATATATATAAAAAAGCTAAATGACTGTTTCTTTCAAAGTCGCCGAACAGCCTTCTGAACGGAAGGTCCACACATC